TAAACAATAGGATTGAACAGCAGGCTAGGCCTATATAAGTTCTCTCCTTAGGTTGACATGACAAAGACAAAGATGAATGAAATGGTTTGTAAGAAAATATTGATGCAAATCATATATAATAGGTAGCATAGACATATATATATATATAGCAGATGGTATAGGGGAGATAATTCCATGTATGTTTCAATTACATATAAATATTTAATTGATATTTTTAGCTATACAATGCTCATATTAAAAAGTCAATCATAATTAATTAGTAATAGGAAAGCAATGCCCTAATGATATATTAAACAGAGAAATTGCTACAATTGTTTTTTTGTTTTTTGTTTTGCAAGTCATTAGTGCCCCCTGTTCATATTGCTTCTTGATGATTATGGGGGATATATTGCCACAAGACAGGGCCCTTACTGACCTGTCAGTGTTCTAGTTTATCACTGAAACGTGTCAATCATTATTGACTAACACCATTACATAACAGGTGTTAGGATGTAATCAATTGAACTTGTATACTTTCTGTCATCAATATTTTATCAAAAATCCAAAATGTCACTCAAAAGATGCTTTTTAAGCTCAAATGGCCATGTACTGTGGCGTCCATCTGTTGAACTGGAGGGCCTTGGGTCACGACATTTGACCATTAGGTAGATGGGATGGAGTGCTGTAAAGTTTTCTCCTTAAATGACCTTGACCTACTTTCAAGGTCACAGGGGTCAAATATGTTAAAAACGTCAAACAACAACATCCTAAGAACCATTTGGACTTGAGTCATAACTCTTGGGTATGTTATGTAGACCAGCAGTGCGAATATTTTTCTTAGAACAGTAATGAGGTCAAAGTTCAACTTTAAGTGCTAGCCGGGGTCAAATGTCAATATAGGTAAAAACCTTTAACCATCTTCTTCTTAAGTTCCATATTGCCCAGGGTCATGATATTTGGCCAGTAGGTACCTGGGATGGAATGCTATTATGTTTCCTCAATAAAATGACCTTGACCTACTTTCAAGGTCACATGGATTAAATATGTTAATAACTTCAAACAACAATATCTTAAGAACTATTTGGTTTAGAGTCATGATACTTGGGTATGTTATGTAGACCAGTTGTGAATCGGTTTCTTGTTACATCAATAAGGTCAAAGGTCAACTTTAAGTGCTAGCCGGAGGCAAAGGTCAACATGGGTTTAAAGCTTTGAAATAAGAATTTCAAATTTCAAACAATATCTTATGGAACCGTTTAAGGGATGTTAAATTGTTTTGTGTTCTAGTTATCAAATTTGGCCTGAAGTTGCCTATATGTCAGTTTCATGTAACAAAAGAAACAGGTGAGCGATACAGGCCCTCTGGACCTCTTGTTCAAAATTGTAAGTAAGGAGGTGAAAAGCAATATTGAAACTTAAATTTTATTATTTAGGTTATTTCTATATAGGTTGGTAGGCATAGCATTAGAAACCTATACAGAAATGTTTGCAGGAAAACTATGCATTCCACTAATTTTCCCTTTGATTTCAGATCATGCTGTGTTCATTATATGGCATCTGCAAGGTCATGGAGCAAGAGATCAAGTTCAAGTCCATTGTACAAACGTACAAAGATCTACCTCACTCAGAACAGCATGTACGTATCTGGTGGTTAATCAATTCACCATTGTCGATGTCATACCAAATTGTAATTAATTGTAAGGTACTGCTATGTTTTAATCATGCAGTAATATATAGGAACATATTTCTGTGAACAGTTCATGTTTATTAGTTTAGTCGAGATTTGATTTGTAATTAATTATCTGTTAGTTTGGGTTTGTTACAAAATAACAAGGAGCACTGTTTACCTTTCCGTTGTCCATTAGTCGAGATTTGATCTGTAATTAACTATCTGTTAGTCTGGGTTTGTTACAAATAACAAGGCGCACTGTTTACCGTTCCGTTGTCCATCGGTCGAGATTTGATCTGTAATTAACTATCTGTTAGTCTGGGTTTGTTACAAAATAACAAGGAACACTGTTTACTGTTCCGTTGTCCACCCGTCACACATTGCTTTCTAGACAAAGCTTCCTAAATATTGGATTTACTTTAGTTAAATTCTGTGTGCGCTTCCTAACCAGCAAAGTTGATTTTAATTCGTAGATGAGCGTAATCTGTGCATCATATTAAAATATTTTAATCAGTTTAGAAACTTCTTTGTTTCTGATAGGCTGATGCATTCTGGTGAATTTCCTTCCTCAATGTTTATTGACTTGGAAAATGCTGGCATACTTTTGATGAGGTTGATGTCTTTTAGAAGTAGATGTTGTTTTATATGCCAGCACATGACAATTTATTCAAACATAAACATGTGTCCACAAATTACCAGAATGTACTAGTTTACAACTAAATGGATTGATAAGTAGGATAGTCTGCCTTTTAACACTATCTGCCTTTTAACACTATATGCCACTTTTAACCAGTACACTGGTAATGTTCTTCTCTAGTGTTAATTATTTTGATATTGACTGGAATCATTTGTTGATATTATCCAGGTGTACAAATGTGCTTTGATTGAAGGCGACAAGTCAGATTCTATCATTGGATTCTACAACAAAGTTTTCATGCACAATATGAAGACTTTCATCCTCCAGTTTGTATCAAGACAAGCGGTAAGCAGAAGCACTTTTTCTTCTTTCTATCAATCTGACAAATGCACAATACACTATTAGATAGAAAACTATTCCATTTGGTAAAAACAGAAAAAGAAAATCTTGTCAGGAAGTGCAAAATCACCGGTACAGTAATTCTAACCGATGGTTAAGTGACATAAAAATAAAGGTTTCAACTAGCTAATAAAATGTCTGTTGACTTTTTCATATGTTATGTTAATTTGTTTCTATTTCATTTTGTGTTATGCTGTATTAATATATGTTGAAAATCAATTTGATGTTTATGTGAGAGTATATATAATAATATAATATACAACATTTGACAAAGCGCCCTATCTAGCTAACATAAGCCACTCTAAAGCGCTTTCCAGTACATAGATGTACAATTAATACAATTAGGAATTCGCAGGAGCTGCCTTATCAGGCGCTAACTACTAGTCCTATGCCACCTGGCTAATATCTCCCTATGTGTGTATGCCTGCGTGTGCTGGAGATGTATTGTGTTATAACCATTTGCTGTAAGTTGTGACACTTTGCGTTATTATTATTTTTATTATTTCTCTCTGTCTGTACTAATGAAAAGATGTTACAAGACATTAGACCTTCATTTGATGCAGCTTGCAAAGTTGTTTTACTCACAACACAGAAACTTTGCTGGGGTGCTGGATTTGAGTAATTGCTGTTTTGTTCTGATCTGCTAAATGAAGCAGATGGTGTATTAAATTTCTGAAAAGAAGAGATACTGATAATATTTTTATATTTTTCAGGTACCGCAATTATCTCCAGCAGTAGGATCTTCCCCATTGAATTCACCAATTTACGTGTAAGTGTACTGAAATTTGTAATCATTGAATTTCAGTCGTGTGGTTTAATACCAGGTTATGAATTTTTAGAGACAAAATCCTTTGAGGTAGTGTCTACAGTAAATTATAGCCCCCATTCATAGAGGGCAGTCTGAGAATATAGAGTTTTTAGGTCACCTGTGATTTCTCAGGTGACCTATTGCGATCGCCTTGTGTCCGTCGTCATGTGTTGTCCGCCGTGCGTCCGTAAGCAATTTACATTTTCAACTTCTTCTCCAAAACCCCTGAACCAATTTCAATGAAATTTTGCAGAAACATTCCATGACCAAAGGTCAACCAAATTTATGAAATATATGGTCCCCAGCCCCCAGGGGCATGAGGGGCGGGGCCAAAAAGGGTCAAATTGACTAAAATTTCAAAAATCTTCTTCTCAAGATCCAGATGTGGTAGAATCAAAAACTCTTCATAGATGGAAGGGTCTTGAGGTGCTTTACCAAAATTATGAATTTTATGACTCTCGTGTCTGACGTTTCCCCCTGGGGAGGGGGTAAACTTGACTATAGTTTATATAGGGAAATCACATTTTGGACCAACATTTGTTTAATTTCCATTGGAAGTAATTTAAATATGGGTTAGGATTATCAGTAACGGATAGCAGTTTGATTGTATGCACATAATGGCCCTGACTGACCCCCAGGGGCTGATGGGTGGGGCCAAAATGGGTTGAATTGACTGAAATTTCAAAATCTTCTCAAGACCCAGATATGGTAGATTCATAATTTATCATGGTTTATATTGGCAAATGATACTTTGGATATTACATGTTTATAACTTGATTGGAATTATAACCCTGAGTTGACAGTTTGATACTTTTTTGAGCCAGCCCTACCCCCAAGGGCTGTAGGGCAGGGCCCAAAGGAGTCTGGGTGCTAAGATTTCTTTATTTTCCTTGTTTAGAACCAGAGGTGCTAGTTTCAAATACTTTTCAGTCTTAAATCTGTATGCTAGATATTGAATAAGGTGGTTTTATTGTTTTTTGTCACTTTGAATATTTCTGTTCATGTTTTAAAAACAAAAATCAACTCTTCTGTATAAATATATCAGAAATCAGGTGACCGTTAAGGCCCATGGGCCTCTTGTTTAACGGCCACAAGCTAACTTATGTTTTTCGGTGAATATGAAGTAGTTTTTAGATTTCAGGTCTTTCAGTCCTGTGTGGTCTTAAAAAAAATTGATTGATTGAATCATGGAACCTTATTCTTTGGTTTGTTTTACCGACAAAAATTTGTATCAGAGTTTTGTTTTTATACAAATGTACTTTAAATCCATCTTTCCAATTCTACCACTGCAATAAGATGTGGGGCAGGGGCCGTGGTGGCCAAGTGGTTAAGTCGTCCGACATTCTGCTACCACTAGCCCTCCACCACTGGGTCCTGGGTTTGAGGCCTACGTGGGGCAGTCACCAGGTACTGGCCGCTGGTCGGTGGGTTTTCTCTGGCAACTCTGGCTTTCCTTTTGCCACCAAAACCTGGCACGCCCTTAAAAGACTATAGCTGTTCAAAGGATGTAAAACACAAACAAACCAAACTGTTCTATTGTTCGTGTACGTGATCTGTGTTGATTCTATTACAGTGTCCCCAACAGACGTGGTTTCTATGTTTCTCCGCTCCGAGACTCTCCATTTAAACCACCCCCTTCACCGAGTCAGATGACACCAAGGAGCAGACAACTGTACAACTTTGGTGAAAGGATAGGGGTAAGGACATAATTTTTAGGTCACCTGAGCTTTTACATAATCAACTTCTTCTCAAGAACCAGTGGATGGAATTTTTTCAAACTTGGTCAGAATCATCCTTGGTAGATGAGGATACCAAATTGTAAAATTGGGATTCCTACCCCAACCCTAGGCGCCAGGGCGGGGCCCAAAAAGGAAAATTAACCAATATTTCAAAAATATTCTTCTCCAGACTCAGAGGTATTACAGTCATTTTCTCTGCATGGATGGAAAGATCATCAGGGGCTTTATTTAAATTGTAAATTTCAGGACCCCTGAGCTATCCGTTCTCCCTTGGGGAGGGGGTAAAGTTTACTATAGTTTATATAGGGAAACAACACTTTTGGGTATATTTTGACAATTTTCTGTTGGAAATTATTTTTACTTGGTGAGAATTATCCTTGGAGGAGGAAGATGGTTTTAAATTGTAAAATTGGGATTCCTACCCCAACCCTAGGGGCCAGGGCGGGGCCCAAAAGGGAAAATT